GCCCAACTGATTTTTCTCAAATATGTTGTCCACTGGTCTGAAACATCTTCTTTTCTTCCTTTTTTTTTTTGTTGTTGAGATGGAGTTTTGCTCTTGTTGCCTGGGCTAGAGTGCAATGGCGTGATCTTGGCTCACTGCAACCTCCACCTCCCGGGTTGAAGCAATTCTCCTGCCTCAGCCTCCCGAGTAGCTGGGATTACACACCACCAAGCCTGGCTAATTTTTTGTACTTTTGGAAGAGACGGGGTTTCTGTATGTTGGTTAGGCTAGTCTTGAACTCCCGAACTCAGGTGATCTACCCGCCTCAGCCTCCCAAAGTGCTGGGATTACAGGCGTGAGCCACTGTGCCTGGCCTGAAATATCTTCCTTAGTACACTGACATTTCTTGTATGCTGAGATGTGTGGCTTTCTACTGTTTCATCTTTTGGCAATTATTCCCCAACAGTCTTAGCTGCCAAATGTATATATTTTGATCTCTAACAAGACTGTTCTATCTCATCAATCTTTCCTTTTAAAAAATGATTAGCTCTTCATACTTCTTTAGATCAACTTTAAGTTCACCTGCCAAATCCCAAATGCATGGCCCATCCTCCTCCTTTGGGAGTTAGAAATGACATTAAATTTATAGAAGGTAAGTGGACATTTTTACTCAGATCTAATGTAAAATGTCTTCCATTTTATTCAAGCCTCTTATTCCATCAGAAAAAAATTTCTCCTATCACTGTCTGCTACACTCCTTATTTGGCTTATTTTTACATACGTACAATAGAATATAAATATATGAATTTATATAATAGACATAACATATATATATACATGCATGCACATGTATTCTGTTTTCATGTGTTATTGAAAGTGTGATGACAGTAAGTAATCTAGTTTTCGTTACAGTTTTACTCTCTAATAGAAACAATGTGTTTTTAGTATTTGACACATAGTTTTTATGGGACAAGGAAATTTCATTCTAGTTCTAATTTGCTGTCATTATTAAGAATGGCTGTTAAATTTTATTTAATATATCTTCAGTAAAAATTCAGAGGCTCATATAATTTTTTTCAGTCATTTCATACTTTAAATTTCTTTCCATGTTTGTTATTTTTACAGGAAGTAATTTCAATTATATTTTCAGTTCTAATGGCATAAAGTTGTATACAACAATTTTGTAATTTTAAAATGATTTCTATTTTTATGGGTACACCTTCCTTTCTGTGTATCTAGAGAAAATCAATGTCCCAGCTCAAGCAGTCTCAGGCATAGACGGAGCGGAAGCACGCGCCAGAGACTGAGATGTGCGCTGCACACATGGAGCTGACTTTACTCAGTCCACTGATTCAAATGCTCAGCTCATCTGGAAATACCTCACAGACACACCCAGCAATAATGTTTAACCAGACAACCTAAGCATCTCTTAGCCCAGTCACGCTGATACATAAATTAACCATCACACACCTGGGTAATGTAAAATTCAATAACCTAGTTCAATAATCTCAGATTCCATTAAACATGCAGGGCATTCTAAAATTGTGGATTAACATTTCCGAGAGCATTCCTACTGCTCAGAGAATGAGGCTATTAAGTGGGAAGGGCAGAAAGAAAGCATCAAATTGTGAAGTCAGGTGGTAAATGACTAAGAAGTGCTCTTTATCATAAAGGACGGCCTTTGAGGTCTACTCATATAGGCATAAAAGCATATAGGGCATGTACCCAGATAGGCAACTACTACGTACTGCTAATACACTAAGTTCAATATAGACAGCCGCTACCTACTGCTAATACACCACCTTAGAGTAAGTTCAGATTCCAAGTGTTTATGGCCAAATGGGTTAAGTAAGCAAGAGTGAGCAAGATACGAAGGAATTGTAGAGAAGATTTAGGAGACTAGCAGAGAGCTGGGAATTCCTGGATTTCAGAATTGAACAATTAGAAGTTAAGGCAATTGTAGGATGCCTATTCATGTAACAAATGATGAGTATAGCCCCACTATGATCTGAGTGTGTATGTGTGTGTGTGTGTATACATCTCCTGTCGCTCCCCACCCTCCACACATGAAACTTGAACGAGGTAAGATTATAGTTCTGCAGATAACACAGGCACTTGTATGATATTTAAGGTGGCAGTTATTGATATTTGCAGACATGCTGCTATCTACCACCCATCAGTGACTCATAACATTAATGCAGTAGGCCCAGCACTTGGAAAATGAAATGGAATAAAAATCACAGTGTGGTGCCTGCGGTAAAAGTAGATTTTGCTTTGTGAAAGTTTTGTTTCTGTTAAATATATACAAGTGGTAGGTCATTGCTGTAAACTAAAAATAAAATCCTAAGGCCCCCAGCAACAGGACGAGCCCCCTCTTGGCCAAAGGGGCCCTAGGAAAACCTTAACAGTGGAATTCCCAGCCACGATGAGAAGACAGATGAGACCCCCTCGTTATGCCTGCTCCTTGCTGGAACTTAAGCTCAAGTGACCAGCATTCGTGTTAAGAGAGATGATACAGCTGACTACACAGACTGTGGCAGTAAGAAACCAAAGTATAAACAAGGCTAAGTCCATGCCCGGCAAGGGACAGTCACGCCGCAGGCCATCAGTCTTGCTACACAGCACCCTCAACTTAGACGTTCCCTTCTGCTGACTCCAGTATTTAAAGCTCGACTCCTTTAACCAACTGCAAATCTCTGAATCCACCTATAATCTGTAAGCTCCAACTTCAATATATCACGCTTTTCTGACCAAACCAACGTGTAACTTCCATGTACTGATTTATGTCTTTGCCAGTAACTCCCGCCTCCCTAAAATGTATAAAAGCAAACTGTGATCCGACTGCCCAGGGTGCACCTTCGCAGGACTCCATGAGAGGGGGTTTCTTGGCCTGCAGTCACTCATATCAGCTCAGAATAAACTTCTTTAAAATACCTTACAGAGTTTGTTTTTTCTGTTAACACTGTATAGAAGATATTTCTTATTGTGGCTGAGGAAAAGTTTGAAAGCTACTGCCCTAGCCTGTGGCTCTTGCCTGTAATCCCAGCTAACTGGGAGGCTGAGGTGCGAGGTTCACTTGAGCCCAGGAATTTGAGACCAGACTGGGCAATATAATGAAACCCTGTCTCTAAATTAAAGTTAAAAGTAATGTGTACAGTTTGCTCACAACATATACCTCCCCTACCACCCCTGTAAAAAATAAAAAATCAGTTTTGCTTATCAGTTTCTTCATAGATATTCAGCTCAAGTGAATTTGCTATTGAAATCTTCTGAGATCATCTTCAAAAGCCCCAAAGGAAAAATTACATTTGTAATATATAAACTAGAATATCATTCATACTTCTGTTCTTCTTGATCTCTTGAATGGCATTGTTTAAACATACAATAGAGGTTTAGAGAAGACCAAAGAAATTGGAAGAAAGCTTAAACTAGGCTTTGAAAAGCTGGCACATTTGAAGCAAGGCAGAGGGAACCAGTAGGAGCGGGCGGGACATGCAGGCGGAGTGTGAGTATGCTCAGAAGAGCAGACGCGGGGATCAGAGGAGGGTGTGCAGAGTGAAGAGGGCTCAGGACGAGGGGGCAGCAGACGAGATGAACCAGGGGTTAAAACAGGACTTGGGGAGAGGTGGGATGGCCCCAGAGCTGTGGACCGGATGTCGGGTGGGACAGAGCTATGGATCTGCCTTGTCTGCAGAACAGACTGAATTAGACAGGAGCCCGCTTGATCAGGTCTCCCTGCCCTGATTGCTCCCGGTCACTTGCTTTTTCTTATTTTTCTTTTCCTTTTTCCATGAAGCTGAAGGCTGTGGTGTCTGAACACCTGGGCACTGAGCCTGAAACGTACCCTTCCCTGGCTGCTTTACAGATAGCACAAGGCACATGGTAACAGTCACTTTGCTTGTTTCCAGCAACCTGGGCCAGTTCTCAGTGGGCCGAGACTACCTGCACTCTCAGTGGGCCTTTGGCTTCACAAGTTATTATAAGATGATGTGTGCACATGAAAAGTATTTATAGACTTACGGCAAAATGACTATCAAATCTGTAATTAAAATTTTTAAGAGGTGACAACAAACTTCTGATCAAAGAAACAACATACTATAACATTAGAAATTACTAAGAGTCGCTCAGAGAACAAGACTGTCAGCGACTGAAGATAAAAAAAACTGGGAAGAACGTAAAGGCAGGATGAAGCAATCGTGCACAGTGGTCTGTTACCAAACCGAGAATCAACGCCCGAGATGAGCGAACGCCGAAGATGAGACACGGCTCTCCGAAGAACAAACTGGCCAGACACACAGTAACTCACTTCCATACTCTAGGAAATGAGTTAACGCCGATAAGAAATACAAAATTTCCTCTTCTCAGGCCAACACTGCCAGGAAGAAGTGATGGCTCTCCGACGGCCGCCTTGGAGCCACCGCTGTTTGCCTGGAGCTACAGGCTGATGGGCAGAGCTGTCCATTTTGTATGGGGACAGGGAATGGGAACTGTTAAAGCCCCACAAAAGTAAAAATAGAACCTAAATCGTGGTGACGAGGAAGGGCAGACAAGGAAGTCTGCACTAAAACTCATTTTGATGACCCCACAGGTACTCAATACAATGGTAGCATGTGGGGGCTTTATTTTTATAGGTGGCTTCCATTTTCATTACTGTGAGATGTACAGCAGATGTCTTCATTTATGTATGTCCCAGGAGATTGGAAAAATTAAGCTGGTTTCAGTCTTGTGTCCGAAGAGATAAGTTTATTTAAACAATTGGCACAAAATGGCTGAACGGAAGTTGCTTAGATTTACCCTAATTTTATGATATTTCTTTACGAAAAGAAAATCTAAAAGTATTTCACCGTCCAGGTTAGAAAGCAGATTTAAGTTAACAGGATTTAAGCAGCATCTCAACCATTTTTAAAAAGCCCTCAAAGTGAAGTAAGTCTCAGAGTTTTACCGCCACTGTTAGCAATCCTGACCCTAAGTGAATCACCCGCACAGAGACCGCGTCTGGAGAATTAACGATCTCTACCTACCTTTTTTTCAAAGAATTTTTTTCTTAACTTGGCATCTGTGGGAGGTACTGTTTTCCTCAGGTTTTGGTACCACTTTCTAACAACGTATCCTCTCCAGCAGGCTTGGATTCTAAAACACAGATATTTGAAAATGACTAATTTATAATGACCCTATGTCAACCAACACTTGAGTAGTTGTTATAAGCCTGTGCCATACAAGGCCCTGGGGAAATCATGGCAGCCACGAAGAGAGATAAAAATGCTAGTACTACGCCGGGCGCGGTGGCTCAAGCCTGTAATCCCAGCACTTTGGGAGGCTGAGGCGGGTGGATCACGAGGTCGAGAGATCAAGACCATCCTGGTCAACATGGTGAAACCCCGTCTCTACTAAAAATACAAAAAAAATTAGCTGGGCATGGTGGTGCATGCCTGTAATCCCAGCTACTCAGGAGGCTGAGGCAGGAGAATTGCCTGAACCCAGGAGGCGGAGGTTGCGGTGAGCCGAGATCGCGCCATTGCACTCCAGCCTGGGTAACAAGAGCGAAACTCCGTCTCAAAAAAAAAAAAAAAAAAAAAAATGCCAGTACTTAAAACAATTACTCCTCATAGCTTGATCTCTGTGTGTCTGCTTAGGGCCACATGGGCCTGGCATCCTCACCTGGTCGCACACTTTATCCTGAACAGGCGGGCCCCATCATGTATCACTCGGGTTTGATACTGGTTCTTTCTACAGAGAGGACAGGTTTTCTTATTTGTGAAGTTTTCAAAAGCCCGAAGACATGCCTGAGGAAAAACATTTCACTTAAATTTTTATAAGTAATTACTTATAAACAGTATTTTTACTTCCAACGTTAGTGTTCTAATTATAGTGTTCTTTTCTCTCTTAACTATGAGACTTAGTCAAATTTAGGTTATAAAGTGAGGAAATTTCATCAGACGTTACCACCTTCCTCGTGAAACCTGTTCTAAAAATGATTTTTTTTTACAAGAATATACATGCAGAGACATCAAAAACTTCTAAAATCAACGAGCACAAAGGTGAGTCGCGCATGCGTATGAGACCACCTGCAGCTCGATCATGCGAATTCAGCTGTCACTTTGATGTGCATCACTGACAACAATCTGTTAAATAAACATTTGTGGTTCTTTTGTCGCAAAACTCATGATTTTCAAAACAGGATGAGTTGTACTGTGGCCTACAGTCGTGTTTCTTTAACTATAAATGGTGGTGATGAATAAAGTGAATGGCTCTTCCTAGGAGCCTTTAACACGAGTCTGGCTTCTCTGCACTGCCAGAGCGGCGTGTGGTGCAGGAGCCGGTGTCAGGGGCTGACTTACTCTGTGGAACACATGGGAACATGAAAGCAGCACCTGTTCATGAGGAAACAAAAAGACGTTTGAAGTTTAACAAAAGAGAAGCAGGATGAATGCAACAGTTAAAGAAAAATTCTGAATGCTTCAAAGGTAAGCTGTATTATTTCTTTAAAAATTAAAAAAACAAATAATTTTGACATTATTGTTGGTTTAGCACCAAAAAAGTATATACTCTAAATAAAATTAACAATCTGAAATATCAAATAAACACATGAAGTTTGATATTAAACTATTAAAATGAGTGTATACTTAAGAGCAAAGCAATGACAAAAATGGTTGATTTCCCCAGGTGCTGGGAGTGACTGCAAACTAGAAGGGTCAGGAGGGGGCCAGTCCTGTGGGGCCAGGCAGGAGACCAGGGAAACGCTAAGTAAACACAATTTCGGTCTTTGTTCAGCTCGGTTATGCCCCCTAATTTTTTTTCAAACCACAGCTCTACTTAGATATAATTCCGACAGTCCTAAATTTAAATTGCATCAAGTCATGGAGACATAGGAGTCATTTTTTCTTTTTCAAATACAGAGAAGGTATGCTTACAAGAAAACTTCACCTTTCTCAGACCCAAATTCCCCAATAGTGACATTCTGGGATGTGACAAAAGACCGAAGCCTAGACCAACTGAAGAAGGCAGTGGGTGCTTCGTGGAAGGGACGGAGCCACCAGCCAGGCTCTGCCTCCCTTGGGGAGGGACCACTTTCAGCAATGGGAAGGAAAGGCGGGGAAGCTTGTGAGACTAAGCAAAGCAGTGCGGGCAGGCAAAGGGTGTTCCCTTTTCGTCAAGAATCTGACTTGGGTGACAGTCTGTGACACTCCTGGGTGAGGTTTCAATCTCAGACGGCCCAGGATGCCTGCTGGGGGGACAACTTAATAGTTTTTAAGGTGACTCCCACCTGCCTTCACTCAATTTATGCTTTGTTTCTTAAATGGAAGAAACAGAAATAAGTAGAACGCAGAAAGTTCTAAAACCCTTCTTGAAACTTATTGCCAAGACTAAGTCTGAACTGAATAAACTCAGTAATATGGGTCCTTTTTTATTACCACCGTTTAATACCAGTTTTTCTGTACTTAATTCATTCTTTATGGAATACATTTTCAGTGTCTTATCAACATATGTTCTATCTATATTGAGTAACATTATCCTTCAGTCTATTGTTCTACTTTTTAAATGCCCGCAAATATTTGTTACAGGCAGACATTCTCTGATGTTTGAATGACTAAGTGAATTGTTTTTATTTCCTCATCTGTGAAATAGGCAGAATGCTTACTATATGAAATTAATTGAAGGTCCTCTGAAATCATTAAATATTGGGAAAATGCCAACTATTGTTTATAACTAAGGAAAAATCTGAACACAGAAATGATCATTAGAAATGCAAAATACACAGGATAGATCTTATATCAAAACCAAATAAAAATAATAGAATTTAGTGGGAAATATATAAAAAACAGAAGGAAAAGTTGGGCAGGGTACACCCTGCTCCCTGTAAGATACGAACTTTCAGTTTCATTCTTCACGCAGACACTGCAAGCTCGATATTTTAGTGTAAGAAAGAGGAAAGACGGAAAGACGCCCTCTGGCCTTCACTGTTTTGCTACACTAAAGTACTAAATTATCCTAGGCAATTTGTGGATTCAGGGCTAAAATCTGTCCAAAATACCCAACTTTTATGTATGTAATATTAGGTCCTGACAGAGAACTAGAATATAGTAAGTATGTCTAAAGTAATGAATTCAAATTAGTGAATACAAGCGTACTGCTGTGAGCTTTCTCGCTGATGAAATTTACTCAAACTTGAGGAAGTTTCAGAGTTCACTTGCCCGGGTAGTAATAAGACTGGGTTCCTAGGCTACGAACTCCAAGGCTAATTTTAACCGTATCTGCTGTATTTTCTCATCAAATCTCTGAGGGCCTGCTATGCAGGAAGCATAATGCCACACCCCGTGGGAAATTGGTACAGGGCAACGATGAATCTGCACGTGCACACACCCACACCCACACCCACACCCACACCCACACCCACACCCAAGCACTGCTGTTAAATCTAAGTGTTCCCAACTTCAGGAGACAACAGTTTAGTTAGGCAGACAGAATATGTATAGAAAAAACCCTATATGCATTCTCTCTATGTGTGTATTATCTGTTAACTCAGAGTAGCATCATCCATCTTAATATGGTAACGTTTCATGAACTCATTAAAAGATTTTACTTAAAGATTCCCTCACAAATTCTTTGGAGACATTCAAGCAGTTTTTTGTTGTTGTTCTTTTCTGACTCAAATCACAAAACAACTTAAGAATTCCTCTGCTTTCTTCCAGCGCGGGGACACAGCTGCTCCTGGGGAGCCCCCCAGTTATCTGCCCAGCCGCAGAGGCCCGTTGAAGGGAAACATTCCTTTTGTACAAATGTTAGTACTTGAGAATACCAGTCAGTAAACAAACAGAACTATTTAATGAGGGTGTTTAGCTCTTCTTCACACACTTTAATTAATGTAAAAGGAAATGGAAGTGTGTGAGGCTCACACCGGAGGGTGAAGCACAAAATGGAAGCCTGGAATCTCAGGCTCCAGCTCCGGGCCTCGTTCCTAGGAAACAGCCCATGAGCTCTCTAGCTTCCCCTCGCACGCTGAACACCTGTGGACGAAGCTCAAAATCTTCTTTACAGATGGGGCACGGCTGCACGGAGTCCCCTTGCAGGAGGGACCGCTGTTTCACCTTCTCCCACTCCTCTGATGACAGCGGAGGTGGTGGAGGCCCAATGAGGCCCAACTTCTGTGCTAAAGTAAGACAACACAGGACAGGGCTGAGTGTCTTTCAGAATACGGCACCCTCCTATAATTTTAATGACACTATTGGCAAACAAATATTAAAGAAATACATACAGATCACACACTTTTATTTCACAATAGAAGTTGTCCCTCAGTATCCCCAGGGAATGTGCTCCAGGATGCCTCAGGGATGCTCAAGTCCCTGATATAGGATGGCGTGGTATTTGCATACAATCCCTGCATATCCTCCTGTATACTGTCAGTCACCCCAGTTACTCATCATTCCTAATGCAACTGCTATGTAAATAGCTGTCATACTATATTGTTTTAAATTTTTCTTAATTTTGTATTGTTGTAATATTATCTTTTATTCATTTATTAAAATTTTGATCTGTGGCTGGTTTAATCTGTGGATGCAAAACCCACAGATACAAATGGCCTGTATATAGGATGCCATTTTCCTATGAGGGCAGAAAAGTGAGTGGTAGTAACACCTTACGTTTTCAATACGTTTATTTTTTATTTACACAGAATTTCCCGTATCTTAATTTCATTCTCAGAATAATTCAGTAAGGCAAGCAGGAGTGATATCCAATTTTATGAAAGAAAAACTGAGGAATACTTATTTTTACACATACTGGCCCAAGGTTCTCCCAGTTCTCGTCTGCCTTAGCCCACAGCCTTCAGCACTGTCTCCTCCAGCTCACCTTCCTCTGCCACCAGCGGCCTTTACATCAATCCTGCACCTCTCCTGCTCAAAACTTTCTATAATGTATCAGTACTGTCAGAATAAAGTTCTTATTTCAGTAACACGTGGGTACCCGCCACATGCTGACTCGGCATGGAGCCGGTGGTGTGGTGGGGAACACTCACTTTGAAAAAGCAACTGCAACATCCTCAGGCAAACGCTGGAAGTGAAGTGTCACCTTCCGCCACCTCCCCACACCCCAAGGAGGGTAAATGCATAAAAAAGCATCGACCTACAAGGATGTCTTCAGAAACAGAAGAAAAAATGTTAACATCTCGGAAGCAGGACAGGAAGCTGAAGGGACACTCTGAGTACAGAAGCGCTCCTGGGCTTTTAGAGTAGAAATGTGAGTGTCAACTGAAAGGCTGGAAGAGAAAGCTAAGATACAGTCATGAGTTGCTTAACAACAGGCGACTGCTGTTCAGAAACGTGCCATTAGGCGATTTCGTCACCTTGCTAACATTGCAGCGTATGTACTCACACAGGTGGTAGAGCCCACCACACACCTAAGCTACATGGTACAGCTGATTGCTCTGGGCTACACACCTGCACAGCATGTTACTGTATTGAATACTGCAGGTAACTAACACAATGGTAAGGATTTGTGCATCCAAACACAGAAAAGGTACAGTAAAAAATATGTATAAAAGATTAAAAATGGTGTAGCCGTGTAGGGCACCTCCCACGAATGGAGCTTGCAGCCTGAAAGTTGGTCTGGGTGAGTCAGTGAGTGGCTGCTGAGTGAGTGTGAAGGCCTAGGACATGACTGTACAGCACTGCAGACTTTACAAACAGTCTACATTTAGGCTACACTACATTTATAAACATATATATAAACAAATATTTTCTTCAATAATAAAGTTAGCTTACTATAACTTAACTTTCTAAACTTCTAAATTTTTTAACTTTTTGACTCTTTTGCATTAACATTTAGCTTAAAACACTATGCTGTCCAGGCTAGTGTTTTCTGACCATGGCTCACTGTAGCCTGTAGCTCCTGGGCTCAAGTGATCCTCCCACCTCAGCCTCCCAAGTAGCACATGCCACCATGGTCAGCTAACTTTTTAGTTTACACAAAATATTTTCTTTCTTTATGTCCTACTCTACAAGCTTTTTCTATGTCTCAAATTTTTTTTTTAGACTTTTTTGTTAAAAACGAAAATACAAACACACATATTAGCCTAGGCCAACGTAGGGCCAGGTCATCAAGATGTCACTAAGTAGCAGGAATTTTTCAACTCCATTATAATTTTATGGGACCACCATGGTTTGTCATTGACTGAAATGTTGCTATGTGGCACGTGACTATAATCTCACAGAAAAACATGTAACAGGAGACAGAAAATAAGAAAATCAAGAGACCGGTCTAGGTGGTATTGTGACATCTGAAAAACTGGCATTCCAGAAAGAAAACATGGAAAATAAAAAATGGAAAGTAAAAAATTTAAAGAAAATAGTCCAAAACATCTCCCAGGAGCAAAGGATATGAGTTGGTTGGAGAGGGCCCAGTACCCAGAACACTGAGTCCCATATCGCTGTGAGAATCTCTGAGACAGAAAGCAGACTCAAAAACAAAACAAAACAAAACAAAACCAACAACAGGCCTCCAAAAAGGATCAGGAATCAGAACTGTGACAGATTTATCTACAGCAATACAGATAGGAGAAGACAATTCCTTCAAAATGCAGATGAAGGGCCGGGCGCGGTGGCTCAAGCCTGTAATCCCAGCACTTTGGGAGGCCGAGGTGGGTGGATCACGAGGTCAAGAGATCGAGACCATCCTGGTCAACATGGTGAAACCCCGTCTCTACTAAAAATGCAAAAAATTAGCTGGGCATGGTGGCGGGTGCCTGTAATCCCAGCTACTCAGGAGGCTGAGGCAGGAGAATTGCCTGAACCCAGGAGGCGGAGGTTGCGGTGAGCCGAGATCGCGCCATTGCACTCCAGCCTGGGTAACAAGAGCGAAACTCCGTCTCAAAAAAACAAAAAAACAAAAAAACAAAATGCAGATGAAGGAAAGATATCCACATCAAGATTCCTGATTAGCAATCAATCGAATGTGAGAAAAGAACAGAGATACGGCCGGACGGACGCGGTGGCTCACACCTGTAATCGCAGCACTTTGGGAGACTGAGGTGGGCGGATCACGAGGTCAAAAGACTGAGACCATCCTGGCTGACACGGTGAAATCCCGTCTCTAATAAAAATACAAAAATTAGCCAGGCATGGTGGCCAGTGCCTGTAGTCCCAGCTAGTCAGCAGGCTGAGGCAGAAGAATCACTTGAACTCAAGAGGTGGAGGTTGCAATGAGCTGACATCGGGGCACTGCACTCCAGCCTGGCAAGAGAGACTTTGTCTCAAAAAAAGAACAAAGATTACTGTTATGCACGTGAGCTTCTATGTGGGCCTCCTCTGCACTCCCCAAGGAGCTACTGACCAGGAGCATCACCACCACGGGGGAATAAACTAAGGAGGAGGCAGCCATGAGGTCCAAGGAGAGAGAGTTCAAGGAGAGAGCCCAGGGTCCCAGGATGCTGCTGAAGAGGTAGCCTGGGGAGGGGATACGGGGGGAGAATCATGGAGGATTCCAGAAGCAATGTCCCCATCAATAAAGTACCCTGGTGTATTTTAATGTATTGAGAGAACGTATTTCTGGAGGAGATTTTAGGGATGGATCAGTGATGAGTGATGACAGAGGAAACTAAATGTGAAAAAAGAAGACATCACTTCAGGGAAAGCAGAAAAATGTCTGAGAAGGAAATTGTAACATAAAACACCACACTGCTTAGCTGTGAGTGAATCAGAATTGTAACAGAGTAAACACTGAATGTTACCAGTCTAATCACAAGTCATGAAAATAATATGCTAAATCGCAATCTTCCATAGTAAGAAGAGATAATATCCAGAACTGAAAATTAACAAAACAGCAGCATAGACATGTTGTTTAGAAATATTTAAAACAGGACCGGGATATCTGTGTATGTCCTAAGCATACCTATTAAGATGTTTATGGCCAAGCTTAATTCACTGAAGGTCAGCAATTTCGGTGACAGACAAGCGAATTCAGACGATGAGTTTCTGACCAGCATCAAGTTCATCAAAATGTGTGCCTGGGAGAAATCTTTTACCAACACTCCCCAAGACATAAGGAGGAGGGAACAAAAATTACTGGAAAAAGCTGGATTTGTCCAAAGCAGCATCTCCACCCTGGCCCCGCTCATGTCCACCACTGCCACCCTGCTGAGACGCAGGCTCACCGCACCCGCGGCATTTACTGTGATTGCCATGTTTAATGCAATGAAGTTTGACACTGAAATTCTGCCCTCCTCGGGAAAAGCAAGGGCTACAGCCAATGTCTCTCTAAGAATGAAGAAAATTCTCACAGATAAAAGCCCTCCATCTTATATCACCCAACCAGAAGACCCAAATACTGTCTTGCTTTTAGCAAATGCCACCTTGACATGGGAGCATGAAGCCAGGAGGAAAAGTGACACAAAGAAAGTGCAGAACCTGAAGAGGCATTTATTCAAGAGACAGAGGTTGGAGGCACACAGTGAGTGGAGTCCACCAGCCAAGGGAGCTGCTGGCCCAGAGGAGCAAAGTGGCATCCCCAAATCAGTTCTGCACAACACAAGCTTTGTGGTGACAAAGGGGAAGATGCTGGGAATATGTGGGAATGTGGGAAGTGGGAAGAGCTCCCTCCTTGCAGCTATACTAGGACAGACTCAGCATCAAAAAGGCATGGTGGTGGTCAGTGGAACTTTGGCTTACATTTCAGAGCACGTGGATCTTTCATGGAAATGTGAGAAAAAAACATACTCTTTGGAGAAAAGTATGATCACAAAAGGTAACAGCACACAGTCCGTGTCTGTGGCCTCCAGAAAGACCTGAGCAGGCTCCCCTTGGAGATCTGACTGAGATTGAGGAGTGGGGCGTCAGCCTCTCCGGAGTGTAGAGGCAGAGGATTAGCCTGGCTGGTGCTGTCTACTCCCACTGTCAGTCCTACCTGCTGGATGACGCCCTGCCGGCCATGGATGCCCCCTTGGGAAAGCACGTCTTTGAGGAGCACATTAAGACCACACTCAGGGAAGACAATGGTCCTGGTGACCCACCAGCTGCATTTCTTAGGGTCTTGTGATGAAGTTATTTTATTAGAAGATGGAGAGATTTGTGAAAACGGGAGCCACAAGGAGTTAATGGAGGAGAGAGGGCGCTATGCAAAACCGATTCACAACCTGCAAGGATTGCAGTTCAAGGATCC